GAGCTCATTTTTAATCGTATTTATGTTAATTTTGGATTACGAACTCCGATTTTGACCCAAAAATAGGGAATTTTCGGTGGAATCGACATTCTAAATCAGACTTTACCCACTTTGTATTAAAAATGGCCTTCCAGAAGCCAAAATCCACCCAAAAAGAGGTTTTTCGAAGGGTTTTTTTGTTTTTGACGAAATTTTTTAAATCTTTAAACCGTGATTAATTATGGCATGCAATTATTGGATTATGTGTTCGATTATACCATTAATCTTCTGCAATTATAACCCTTATTAAGCATGTTTATGAAGTCATAATTGGTGCTTAATTTGGTGAACTCTTAATTTCACATAAACTTGAAATTTCACATTTTTGCAAATTAACTGCTTGAGTGTGAAAGTTTTTGGTGAATATGATTTTTGAATCCCCTAAAGTGTTAAAGATTCAATCTTTAATTGTTTATTTGGTTGAATCTTAACTTGCTAAAATCCATAATGAACTATTTTTGGTTTTAATCATTTTTGAAGTTGATTAAAATCTTAAATGTTCATACTTGTGCTTGAAATATAATTGTTCTTCATATTGGAAGGTTACAATATTCAAATGTGCATAAGTAAGTGTTGGATAAATTATTTCATTAGATGATTGATTATTTATTCAACTATTTTGTCAAATCTCGTTATTAATTTATGTTTGTTAAATTAATTGTGAGAATAGCCCTCAATTTTTTGAGCATCAAGTTAAGCAAAAAATAATTTAAAGAATAGTTCTTGAATTAATTTTTGTTTGTGCACTAAAATTGAATTTAATTAAGTTGCACTTGTTTATTTTCAATATTGCTCAATATTAGTTCTAAAATCAATTTAGAATTAATTTTTATGTCACACAAAAATTCGGAATAAAATCCAAAAGTATAACAATCGCAAAATAGAAGCCGATGCTTCGAGTACTTAGGCTCGGCATGAAGGGCTGCTTGCTGCAGCCTACATGTTGCTGCCGAACTAAGGCATGTGCGAGTGTGTGTGAGGGAGTATGCGTGTGGCTCTGAGCGTGAGTGTTTGTGGGGAGGGCTAGCAGTCTGGGCGGGTGACTGCGCGCTACGCAGCCAGTAGCGGACACTGCTAGGACGCCCACGGGAGCACCTAGCAAGTGCTGCTAGGGTGAGGGCGAGTACCCGCACCATGTCGCAAGGCCTGGTGTTGCTGGGCAGCTGCTGTGGCGCGCCCCAAGGCAGCCTTGGTGCGTAGGCCATGTGCGTGAGGCCAGCCTTGCGTGCCATGCTTGGTGCTTAGCCACCCCCCTAGGCCTTTTGGCTCGAGGCTAGGCACTTGGCATTGGTTTTTGTGATTTTGTGTTTTAATTAAAACGAGGCTAGGCCTCGGTTTTTCCGAACTTGCGAAAATAATTTGGCAAAATTTTGGGTTAACCGGCTTAATTAATTTTAATTGGATTAATTTTAATTAAGTTGGATGTGGAATTTAGTGGGAGCTTCATTAATGGTTTTGAGCTATTATTTTTGCGTTAATTCACATAATCGGATAATTACTTTGACTAGTTTTAGTTAGGCGCATTAATTGGATTAACCATCTAAGTTAGTTACTAGTTTTGCGCTCGTTTTGGATTGTTGCTTGAATTATTTGTAAAATGCATGGACCATTCACTTTAGAAGTGAATGGATGAATGAAATAGATATTCTAATGCAGGTTTTACAAAATGGCAACTAGTAGGGCCCGACTAGGATAGTAAATACGGACTGCATTCCGTTTTGTATTTTTGGAAATCTAAATACGGACTGCTTGCCGTTAAGTATTTTTGTACTTAAATTATTTAGATGAGTCCTAGCTTTTCTAGTAGGTTCATAATTGGTGGTGATGTCTCGAAGACAAAGTTTCTAAGAAGACAAAGCCAAGAAGATGCAATGAAGGCCCTTGAAGATTTGAAGATTCAAGTTTCAAGGGGTCATGCTTGTTGCCAAATGCATCTCTATTTATGCCCTATATATTTTTCTTATATTAGATGCTTGTTTAGGATTTCGAATGTTGAATGATTAGTTTAGTTCACTTAAATCAACAAACGTAGAAACCCTAAGTGTAACACCCTAGAAATTCCTTTCCTTTAAAATACCTGTTTTTCCCTTTTCAAAATATGGGATAGGAAATTCTAAGACATTACCCCCACCGTGAAAACGGCTAAGACAATTATCAAAGACACACAACGGAAGACTCTCTTTAAAACCATTCAAAACAAGTCAACTTAAAAAGTCAAACCAAATGAAAGTAATGTGAACCAAAGTCAAACAAAGTCAACCTATAACTTGGAACCATTGTAGGCCCTTAATAAAACCGAGATAAAATATTTGAAAACCTTTGCGTTAGTCTCACAAGAAAATATATAATAATTAAAGCAACAAAACCACATCATATTCTTATGAAAACTAAACATGATTCGCTATTCACTCATGCCCATCATGAATATGCTTCCACACCTGAAAAACTCCTCTTTACTTGGTCCCCACTACTCGCCATTAGAAATGGGTCATCGCAGGGCCAAGATAAAGACAAGGCCAAACAAACATACAACACACAATCAGCAATGCTGAGTACATAAGCGTAAACAATACACACTAACATGCTTTAATACTATCAATACACAACTTACCTTGTTGCACATGTTCTCAAGCACACAACACAACCAACAAATAAATAGACCACTAAATTGCTGATTTAATTTGATTACGCATCGAACGGGTTTCTCACCAAATCTCTCCCCCAAATAAATTGAGGTAAACTACACCGGGAGCTAATCGGGTAGGCAAATGCCACATGAAGTGACTGGACGTCCTGTGCATAAAATAAATAAAAAGGAGAATACAGCGTCCAGTGCTCCCAGTAGAAGTCATGGTTAAATATAAAACCCCATAACTCCCCCCATATGTTCATACTCGAGGTATCCACGTTTTAAGAGTTCTGGTGCGTAATCTCTTTCACTTTAAGTTGTTTACATATTTTTAGACTTGGTGATGACTCTTAAACCATAACACAATCAATCATAATAAATCATTCAAGCAATCAAACATACCCATTTAATTCTTGAATAATTAGTGACCACATAATTAAATGTTGAATCCTTTTTAAACTACCTTGGTGTTAAATAACACCTTAAGTGCATAAAGCACCGCAAACCTATCCCTCGGCGTTTAGAACACCTTAAGTGCACGTATGCACAACAATGTAATTTATCCCTGTGCACTAAGACACTCGATGGCTCAATTCTCATGCTTAAAGCATCAATAAAAATTATATGAACTACAATGAAATTCCCTTTTTATATTCCAAACCAAATTAAACATTTAGTTTAATTAAACATGCTCTCAACCATGCCAATAATAAAAGTGAGTTCATATTCAACATGCCAATATAATTAATTCCAATCATTAATCCATCATAAATAATTTATACATCATAAATCAATCACCAACATCAATCCAATCACCAACATCAATCCAATCACCAATTCCAATTCACACCTAACATGATACTACCATGGAATTGATTATACAAAGCCTAGCATGCTTCTATACACTTAAATAATTAACGAATACGCGAACGTACCTTGAATATGATCTCAAAATCGCCACGACTACACAAAATCACTCACGTGGAAATCTCCTACAACCCAAAATTATAAAGAGACATTAATACCTATTCAACATAAATTTTCAGCAATATATACACTCTTTAAATCACTCATAAACCCTCTAAAACAAGCTAAAATTAATTTAAAACCCTTACTTCTATTCCCAATTAATGGGTAATTAAAAATCCTTTCAAGAAACATAATTATAACCTTTATATAAAAAATCCAGCTTTATAAAAATATGTAAAATTGCTGTAATTATGTTTAAAAACATCTAATTTATTAGTTTCAATCACCTACAATCAATTTCCATCAATATACATTAATTTTAAAACCTAAGGTTTTCAATGTGGGGCTTTTTAATTCAAAAACTAAATCTGAAAATTATATATACATAATAATTATAATAAAAAATCATTAAAATCATTACACAACCCAAAATCAATAATTAAATCAAGGCTAGATTAGGATTAAAACAAAAAGAAGAATTTTTTTTTTAAAACACACGCACACAAGGGGGAAAAAGGGAGGGTGGCTGGCGCCACCTCCCACGGCTGCTGTTGTTGCCGGCGGCGGCCGACTATGGTGGAGGTGGCAGTCGGCCACCGTGATGGTGGTGGTGTGCGTGGTGATGTAAAAAATTAAAAAGGGGAGGGGGAAAATTAAAGGAGAGAGAAAATAAGAGGAGAGAGAGAGAGTTTACCTTTGGGTATTCTCCACCTTGGGCAAGATCTAACTTGCTCATAAGATGGGTATTTATACCCTCTCTCTAAAACCCTCCTAAGCTTAAATTCTCTTTCTACCCTTAATGATCCCTTCTCCTATTCAAACTAGTCCTTTGACTTTCTTTAAATACCATTGACTTTAAAATTCCTTTTATAAAATAATATGTCCCAAAGTTTCTAAATAATAAAATAAAATATTTCCAAAACAATTAAATAAATAAAAATGGACCTTTAATTAAAATAATTCTTTTTAAATTAATAAAATACCATAAATAATTCATTTCAAATTATTTAAATACTTCATAAAATAATGATTTAAATTAAAATACATATAAAAATACAGGGTATTACAGTCTATCCTCCTTAAAAGAAGTTTCGTCCCGAAACTTGGGTAATGAAAAGCAAACTTTTTCCCACTTTGTATAATATTGTTGTACTCTTTTGACATACTTTTACCTTTAATGTCTCCTTGAAATAAAAATTACACGAAATAACCGTTAAAAATGTGCAAAAAGCACAAAAATAATTGAAAATATAGGGAAAAAGCGCGAAATTCTACCGCATTCTACCCCCCTAAAGAAGATGAGTTACGTCCACGTAACTCAACATACCTCAAGCAATCGAGGGTATTTCTTTTTCATCTCATCCTAAGCTTCCGAAGTTGCTTCCTCATATTCTTGGTTAGACCATAGCACCTTAACAATCTTAACTTCCTTGTTGCGTGTACTACGCACTTTACTCTTAAGGATCTTGACAGGTATGTCTTCATAAGTTAAGCTTTGATCTAACTCAATTGTTTCAGGTTGAAGCACATGTGCCTTGTCAGGTATATACCATCTTAACTAAGATACATGAAATACATCATGCACTTTACTTAGTTCCATAGGTAAAGCCAACCTATAAGCTACTTTGCCAACTCTCTGTAATACTTCATATGGACCGATATACTTTGGGCTAAGCTTTCCTTTCTTCCCAAATCACATGAAACCTTTCATTGGTGACACCTTCAGTAATACTTTGTCACCAACCTCAAACTCTTCCTCTCTACACTTCAAATCCGCGTAGCTCTTTTGGCGATCTTGCGCTGCTTGAATCTCTTTTACTTTCTTAATTGTATCCTCAATCATTTGAGGCCCTAAGATTATTGTTTCACTTATTTCGTTCCAACATATAGGACTGTGACACTTCCTTCCATATAATGCCTCAAATGGAGCCATGCCAATGCTTGCATGGTAACTATTGTTATAAGAAAATTCAATTAAGTCCAAGTTATCTTCCCATCCCCCTTGGAAGTCAATGACACAAGCTCTTAACATATCTTTCAAGGTTTTGAATAGTCCTCTCAGTTTGTCCATCTGTGGCAGGGTGAAATGTTGTACTCATCTTTAGTATTGTACCAAAGTTTTCTTGAACACTCTTCCAGAACTTTGGTAGAAACCTAGAATCTCTATCAAACACAATATCCTTTGGAACTCTATGTAACCTCACAACCTTTTGATGTAAGATTTTGCAAGTTGTTCCATCTTCCAGATCACCTTCATTGGTATGAACACCGCAGATTTAGTCAGTCTATCCACCACGACCCAAATGGTATCATTCCCATTCTTTGACTTTGGGAGGTAAGTTACAAAGTCCATTGAAATACCATCCCACTTTCATCTAGGAATTTCCAATGATTGCACGGTTCCTTGTTGTCTCTTGTGCTCTATCTTTACTTTGGAAAGTTAGACACTTTGCTACAAATCCCGCAACTTCATTCTTCATTATAGGCCACCAATACATCTTTTTCAAGTCTTTGTATAGCTTGTCCCCTCCTGGGTGTACTGAGTATGGTGTATTATGACCTTCTTCCATCAATTTTCTCTTTACTTCTTTACATTTTTGTGGTACACACCATCGACCTTTGTATCTTAAACTTCCATCTTCATGAATTTTGAAATCTGTAGCCTTCCTTTGCTTTATTTTCTCATGAATCCTATCCAACTTAACATCTCCTTCTTGGTTTTCTCTTATCTCATCAAATATTGTTGGTTGAATACTCAGATTCGCAAGTATACTTGCTCGTACTCCCCATTCTACCACTTCTAAATTCATTTTCCTCATATCCCTACATAACTCATCAACCCTATTAAAGTGTTCAGTCAATGACTGGTCTTACGGCTTAGAGTGTCTGCAACTACATTTTCTTTCCCTTCATGGTATTGTATGTCCAAGTCGTAGCCCTGTTGTAAATTCTAACCATCTCCTTTGGCGTGAGTTTAGATCTCTTTGGGTGAAAATGTACTTTAAACTTTTATGGTCTGTGTAAATCCTACATTTTACCCCATACAAGTAATGTCTCCAAATCCTTAGTGCAAAAATGATTGCAGCTAATTCTAAGTCATGAGTAGGGTAGTTCACTTCATGAGGTTTCAATTGTCTTGATGCATATGCAATCACCTTCCCATTTTTCATAAGCACACATCCCAAACCATTCTTGGATGCGTCACTATATACATCATAGATCCCACTATCATCTGGCAGTGTAAGAACTGGTGCTGTAATCAACTTTTGTTTCAAGAGTTGGAAGGCTTCTTCACACTTCTAACAAGCGTTAAATCGGTCGCTACAATCAAACTCTCAATCAAACAATACTTATACGAACACCCTATAACCAAGTACAATGGCAAATAAAGGTTCGGTCCACGAGGAACGAGAGTAATTGCAAATCAATCTTAAACCTAAGCTAGTTCAAAATCAATGGAAAATGGTGTTCTAAAATACTACTAAAAAGATGGAATAAATCAATAAACGAAGACACTAGGGAGAACGGGAATTCACCAAACCATCGGTAACTACGCAACAAGGAATCATAGAGACAAACGGGATATGCAAAGACTATATGTCTGATCAATATCGTGCGATAGGAAGACAACGGGCAATACTAAGCTTGGATTTCTCATGCACTCAACATTACTCGATACATAATCAAACCACATTCAATAATGAAATACTCAATTCACAATCTCTTGTTCAAACCAAGAATAACATGCAATCAAATTCAAGACTCTAGGTTAGCTACTCCTATTATAATGAATTAACATGCAATCGCATATAACCAGTTTAATCACAATCCGTTTATCAAAACCAATCCACAATTACATAGATTACCTAGGCCGGGTTTCATCCCGAAACCCTAGTTAGGGAACTACTCACACATATTCATGATCAAAGCAACAATAAATTCTAAAGGCATAATAAATCTAAACATGAACTCTAATCAAGGATAATAAAGCTTTGAATAATAAATAGGAGCGAATAATACCAATAAATCGATGCGAATCAATGCAAAAGATTGGAACTTTGATATCCGATGTCAATCAATAATACAAAGAATCCCAATTAATATTGCCTTGAATAAAATCCGGAAAACTAGAGTATCTCAAATCTGATGAACTATGAATTTGCTAGAATAAAATCTAAGAAAACTATGGAACCTTAACTACGGAAGTACTCTCAAAATCTCCCTAAAATCTGTCTAAAAACGCCCCTTAAAGTCGGGCCTTATATACGCCTTCTAATTCGGAGAAGTCAAGTGCGCGGTTAACCCTGGATCAGCACGGCCGTGCTACATATGGCACAGCCGTGTTAGCTTGTCAGTAGCTAAACCAGATTTCTTCTTCAATTTGGCACGGCCGTGCTATATATGGCACGACCGTGCAGCTTCTTGGCACGGCCGTGCTAAAAATGACATGGCCGTGTTGAATATGCTGAAGCTGATACGGGCACGGGCAACATCTGGCACGGCCGTGCTGGTGCGTGGATACTGACACGACCGTGCTATTGGCTTGCACGGCCGTGCTCCCTTGCCTGGGGCTGCTTGCTCATAGGCCAGCACGGGTGTGCCTATGGTAACACGGTCGTGCTGCCTGTGCTATGTAATCAATGCACGACACTTGAACTTCCTTAACTCCTCGGACTTCGGTCAAGGCTAGCTCGGTTACGCATCAAGGGCTCGGGATCCGACTAAACTCGGTTGATATTACCTGAAAACACATCAAAAACAAACCGAAAACCCGTGAAGCACGTAATATAGGGGAAGTAAGCATAACAAGGTAATAATCGGCCAAAACGGCCCCAAATACATCCAAAATCATCCTAAAATATGCTCTAGAGCGCGCCCTAAAGAGCGCTTGTCAAAACCCCCCAAGCTACCCTTTTGCTAGTCCTCGAGCAAAAACCAAGGGAAACACACACAAGACTAAATAAACTATGCCATTGCATACAAATCAAATTAAGCATTGAATGAAATCAATGGATCCTACTTAGAACAACCATGCATGGAATGAAAACTCACTGAAACAAGCAACGAGACACACAATCCAAGATATCGTTGATCAAAATGCGAACAAGACCTAAACCAAGCATAGAGAACAAAGAAGTCATGCTTCCCTCTAAACCCAACCAAACCGGCCACGTCCTCCCCTTTTGCTTCGAATCACCACCCTAATTGGCCCCTCGTGATTCCTAGAAGGAACCGAAAAAAGTGATGTTTTGAGGAAATAATAAAGGTATCCCGACATCTCGATTACGCATAATCTTTCCATAGGGTTGAAAGGTATCTCCCTCCACCGTTTGAGAACCAAACACCTCTAAAGTCTAAGGGTCTTAAAGGGTTGCAATGTATTGGCAATGGGTAAGGTAGGTGAAAACAATTTAAAAAGTGGGGTTAATTCCTAAATGAAGCGCAAGAATCACAATTCTCAAAAACAAAAGTTCAAAAGATGTAATTCACATTCCACAATCTCATTGATTCACATTCTTACACATCCCAAATTATCCATATAATACACACTCAAATGACCCTTTTCAAACTTCAAAACTTTATTTATGTGTCCTTGCCTTTTTCACAATTCGGACGGCTTTTCTCTTCTTTTTTTTTTCTTTTTAGATTCTTTTTCTCTTTTTTTTTTTTTTTTTTGCAAAATGACTTTCACATTACAAATTTACAATTAGGCTCACTTTCACACTTGCTCAACCCAACTATCAATCATTATTTCTTAATTAGTAAACAATAAGCTCAACAAACCTATCTAAGTAAACGCTTCACAACTAAGGGTTGGTAAAACATTGGCCATCGGGTTTGTAACACGGTCAACCAAGAATGGAATTAAATCTCAACATGGTTAGCAAGTAAGATGACGTAAAAAGAAAATCAATTTGTAACAAAACAAAAGGAACAAAATAAGAAAAATGAAAAAGGGTGCCCTCTTCCTCCCTTAAAAGTGTCAAGTCGGTCTCGGGAGCTACTAGTCAACACAAAGATCGAAAAATGCGTAATCAAGGATCCAAATATGCCACTCAAGAAGAATGATGAAGGCTAGAACAATAAAACCTCACGGGATTCAAAAACAAAGCAACTACCAATTAAGGGGATCAAATCCACAAATGGGAAGCGACTCTATCTTACCACAATTCAATGGCTTAGAGTTTCACATGATAACAAATGTTCTAACCAACTACCTTCGCCTAGACTCGTCTACATTGATCAACAATAGACTCAAATTGTGTATTTATCACTGGCTTAAGTAGAAATAGATATTCCACACACATTCATTCACGTTTTGAATCCAAATATGAGCATTATTCCAAAAGTTTATGCAATTAGACAAGTTTATCACGATCCAAAAATATAGGAAAAGACTATGAGGCAAATCATATAAACTAGACTACACATCCTCATAACAGAAGCTATTCCTATATTGCACACATATATACACAACTAAGTAATCTAAACAAGCTAAATGGCTCATAAAGAGGCATGAAAATCACATAATAATCCCAATCGACAAACAAGTGATCAATTGATATCAACATCAATGATCCCAGGTTCTTTAGAACCGATCAAACATCCTCGAACCATTCAACTTCTTCCTAAACTAAAATATCCTAAGCACACAAAAACAAAAAAAACTAAAGGAAAAAGGGACAGATTTCACCAGATGCTTCTTGAAAACACACTAAGACAACATGAGATGCGGCGAAGCTCCTAATGCTACCTCCATGAGTCTTCATATCTGCACAGGTTAGATAGAAACAAACCAAAACGAAACAAAAAGAAACTCGTTTTTTTTTTTTTTATAGGAATATGAAGAAAAAAAAGGGAAAATCAATAGGGAAACCATTCACCCCCCCAAGCTAGTATAGACATTGTCCTCAATGTCAGGCATCGAGAGAC